TCACATAGAGGTACGTAATTTAATTTATACTCTTATATTTTTAGTTGATTTTTTGCTAAGGTTATTTTAAGGAAAATGTGAAGAAAATGTCTTAAACTTGCATTAAGGGTAAAATAGTATTTTTACTCAAAATTAGTTGAAAAAGTGGAGAGTAAAAAGAGATAGAATTTCATAGAAAATGCAATAAAATAAGGGCATTATGGTAATTGACTAAGGGATATAAATGAAATTTTAAAGAAAATGTAAGAGCAAAATGAGAAACTATATATATATATATAAACCCTAGCCACTCTTACCCACTTTCACGCCACTTTCACTTCTATATTCTCTCAAATTCTTCAATTCTTTTTCAAAGGAAATTCATAGGTTTTGGGTATTTTTGAGTGGATTTTCAATCCTAAACAACTTTAGGTAAGATCCTTGCACTAAGAAGTGATTTTTTATTTTTAAAGTATTGAATTTTAATGGTTTGTGCTCATAGGATTTAAGAGGAAGAGAGTTTGATCAAAGAAGATTCTTAAAGGGTTGAATTTGCTCATATCAAAGGTAAGTAAATTCTACCCTAAGTATGATTTAAGTTATGTTGTGTAGAGAATTTTCTTTATGCATATATATGTGTTATATGTAGAATTGTTGATGGATTTGGTGTTGCATAATAAATAGAACATATCCATGAGAAGTTGGGTTGGTGTATGGGATACTTGATGAATGTTTGGTTGAGATTTGGAAGAGTTGAAGTGAAAATTTTGAAGTGTGTATTTTGGGCAGATTTGGCGTTAATTATGGAGGAGTTTATTCCAAATTTTTGGTGGCTTAAAGTAGAGATAGAAGTGTAGCCAAATTAGTGTTGATTTGTGTACATGAGTTGTTTGATAAAATGCCAAAGAGAAGTGCATGTATGAGTATGATTATGTATTACTTTGGGATGAGTTTGTAGATGGTAGAGAATGACATGTTTGCATTCTATAATGCATAATTGCATTTAAACTTTGATGAAATGTCAAAGAGAAGTACATGTATGAGTATGATTATGTATTACTTTGGGATGAGTTTGTAGATGGTAGAGAATGACATGTTTGCATTCTATAATGCATAATTGCATTTAATCATGTGAATTTAGAAAGAAATATAAGAATGAAACCATCTACATGCATACATATTCATAAGAGCATGAAAAAGCACTAAAATATGTTAAAGAGAAAATAGAAAGAAATGAGAATATTAAGATATTCAAATTTGAATTTTCGCTTAAAGAAGTGTAAAAAGATAAAAAGAAAAGAAGGTTGTTGCGGTGGAGAGTTCGTGAGTGACATAGTTCCACATGCACGCCGCCTTTACTGAGCGGCCTTAGAATTTAGAAAGAAGAATTGTACAGTCCATTAGAAGTGCGTGTGGATGATGACTGTACTCAGAATTAGAGAATTCACTCACACGTCCAAGGCTCCAAATCCATGCTTCAATCGAGTCCGATTGGCAAGAAAAGAAAGAATAGAAAGAAAGATTAGAAAGAAAGAATAGAAAGAAGGACTAGAAAAGAAAGAAATAAATAAAAAAAACAAAAAAACATAAACAAAAAAATAGAAAAGAAAATACATAATCTATGCATTTATGTATTTGCATCATGAATATGCATAATACCATGCTCATTATCATGCGTAGTGAAAAATTAGAGAATTGAGAGAAAAACAGAGAGCAAAACATAGAAAGAATGAGAAAGAATAGAGAAAGAACAAAGAAAGAATAGAGAATAATCGGGAATTGTGATGTAAGGAAAGAAAATTCAAAATTTAAGCAACGGAGAGAGAAGGGTAGCATAGCGGGTTTACTTACTGAACAATTAGTGCTCACTCCGTTGTTTTCAATGTTTTTGCAAGTAATAGGTGAGTTGCGGTCGCTCGGAACGTCACGCAGTGGAAGGGTTGGGCTACATTGTCAAGTTGCTATTTTTGAGTATATTTGTATATAAAGAAAAATTAAAATATGGGTCCATACTTTATTACTCGTTTATATGTATATTTTTATATATATTTTTAATGAGTTTTATTGATTATTTTACGAGTATACTAGCTAGAAAGAAAGTATTACAAGATGTTTGTTTAAGCTTATAAACTGGTCAAACTAGCTTATAAGTTCTAAAATTAAGCTGACCTATTTGTTTATAACCTTTTTGAACTTATAAGTTGAGCTTATAAACAAAAATAAATAAATAAATAAATAAGTTGGAGAGGAGGTACCTTTTTTTTTTTTTTTTTTTTTTTTTTAAGCTAATTTAACCAAGTATATTACCACATTATCTTTGTTTAATTTTAAAATCTCATAGTATACTCTTATTTAATGTAGTACCCTTTTTAGTCATTTTATAATAAAATGTACTTATAAGCCACATTTTACCAAACACGTCAACTACTTATCAGTCACCTATAAGTACTTTAACCAAACACGTAATTGCTTAAAATTTCAAATGCTTATAAGCTAAAATCTAATTTTCATAAGCTCAGACAAACACTCCCTTAGTATGTTTGGTTGGAATGAATAAATTGGTGGGTACGTTATTTAAATTACTGAATTGTCTTTTAATTAACTATTATTATTATATTATTTTTTAATATTAATTATTATTTGGATTATTATAACCCCTCTGCATTTAAAAACTTAGCAAAAACAACCTCATAATAAAAGTTTGGAAAATCAATAAAGCACCCCCACCAATCTAGCCACTGTTGGCCACCGGAAACCACCGTAGGCTGTCAGCAGCCGGCAACCTAACGGCGCACGGAAGGCAAGAAATGCCTTCCGTGCGCCGTATGGCCATTTCCGGCCAGAGATCTGACAAAAAATGGCCAGACATGACAGATCTGGTTGTCGACAACCAGATCAATGGCCGTTAACGGCCACAGACGTGGCTGGAAATGGCCATATTGGCGCACGACGACCATTTTCGGCCTTCCGTGGGCCGTTTCGGCGGTGGCGGCGGCAAGTGGGTGAGGGTGGTGGCTTGAGTGGGTTGCAATTTGTTTTGAATTCAAGGGTAATTTTGTCCAAAAAGTTAATTAATTGGGGTGAAATAGTAAAAGTCATATTCATGTAAATAAATTAAAAAATAAGGGCATTATTGTCTTAAAATTTTATTAATAAGGGATAGAATTGTAACAAAAAAAATAACTCTGATAATATTAGAATACCTAAGAAAATAGAGGTAATCAGATTACCTTCAATATTATCAATAGTAATCACTTGGTAAATGAAGATTACCAATATCTTATATTACTTGACAACCAAACATGGTAATCAAGTAATATAAGATGACTTGATCTTAGTAATCTTCAATAACCCCAACCAAATGTCCCCTAAAGGTTATGTATCATAATATAAGATATGAGGCAATTTTGGTGGACGCCCATCATTTACAATAAATACAATGTATTTTATATCCCCAATTACAATATAAGATGTTAAAATTTAATATTTTCAAATATCCACGAAAGTTTAATAATAATGTCGGTGACTCATATAGTTATATTATATGGTATTTGATGTTCCTTGGTGATCGGTTTCTTTAAGAACCTAGGCAAATGCGATCGATGCTGTTGCGTACGTGTACACCGTCTTTGCTGTGCCGAATTTAACTTGTCTCCCTTGTAAGTTGTAATTTTAAAGATGAATTAAAATAAGTTTAAAATATGATTGTCAAACAGTATATCGAAAACTTAATTTTTTGAATCGTGTATCTAGTATTATATCATATCGTAAAATAAATATTTTTAAAAAAAATTAATAAAATAATAAATTTTTTCTAAAAATTAATATTATCCCATGATTAATTAACAAATTATGTGGTATTATTGGCTTTAAATTATGATATTATATAATCAAAATTAAGAATCTATATTATTTTCTCTTAATCATTCGTATCATTTTCAAGATCAATGTCAATATCTATAACTCTACTTGTATTATTATTATCATACAAAATGGGTAACACGTCTTTTTTTCATTTTTTCTATACAAAATGGATAAATTTGAACAGGTTTTAGTAAACCGGGTTGGGTGACATGGCTTCAACCTGAATTTTTTTAGACCTTTGGCCTAAATTAATAAAGTCGTATCGATATTTTTAATGATACAAATAGATATGTATCGTATCGTAAGATATATATCAACGTATCAAAATATTTAAGATACACTCTCTGATACATATTATTAGCATCTCATATTGAATCGTATTATAGAATACGTATTGCATATTGTAGGACATTAACAACTATAGTTTACAATGTTAAACTATTCCTTTAGGAAATCTGATGAATTTATTGTTGTCATTATGGCCTTTGGAAATAATCAATTCTGGTCGTTGATTGATCAAGTGGTGTAACGAGTATACGGTTTGGTTAAATGGGTCGTTGATTGATCAAGTGGTGTAACGAGTATACGGTTTGGTTAAATGAATTTCATAGCTTCAATAAATGAAGTGGGTAATAAGATGAGCAAATACAAGTTATAGACACTGCCGCCAAAATTAGACTTTTCCGCCAAAGTTAGACATCTCTCCTTTTCTTTCATTAAATATTTTATCAACAACCCAACCATATTACATTTCAACTTCTTTTTTTATTTATAAGGTAACACATTTTTTTCATAATTCCAATTATTAATTAAACCTAGCAGTTTACTTAATGTCAAACCAACTTAAATTCAACACGTACACTACTGTCACCGAACAACTGCCATCCACATTCCCTACTTCACAAAAAAATCTGCTCTGCTTTTAATGGACCACATTATCACCACATGCAAACTCATTTCCACGTGTACAGCCCACATTCAACCTCATTTACCATCACTCTCATCTATACTTGCACATCCAACCATACTCTACACGTGGCAGAATACCACAGTGCTACCCATATGGTGACTATATGTCATCAATCCAACGGTCAAACTCAAAATACTTAACCAAAGCTGCTCGATCTTTACCTCACTCAGCCATACATAAAGGACGCTGCTCCTTCTCTTCAACTAACCAACACTCTCCTTCTTAACTGAAAAACTACAACTACAAAATAGCTTAAACAACCGAAATTTCGGAGAAGAGAAGAAAACCGAAACATTCAAATTACAAGCCGAGCCAATATGGTATGCTTTTGTTTTCTGGTGGATCAGACACGTAAAGTGCGTAGAAGCAAGCCGGCAGCTGGGATTTGCTCGAGGTGTGGCGGTGGAGCGAGCGTAGCTGACATGAAAACAGCCACCAGGTTCTGCCACGTTCCATTTTATTGGAAATCTTGGAGAGCGATTATCTGTACTTTCTGCGGCGCCATTCTTCGATCTTATCGATAGTTTTGGACGGTGCATATGTGAGCTTGAAAGACCAGAGATCATATATGTTGAAGGGCTTCAAAATTAAAATCTTAAACCCCCGAGTCGCAGCCGAGACTTTCCATCTTTTCGGGGGTTTCTGAATCCGGCCGCTAGAGTTATTATGACATATAAATGCTGATTATAACTCGAATTTATTATGAAAAGTTCGAACTTCTTCTAGTTATAATACTAATTTTCCTCAGAGGATTAAGATTTCTTGGTTTTACATGTATGTAAAGTTTTGTTTGCATGTTGCTTCTTGTTTTTGAAAGGTAAAGATTACAACTATGAACATGGAGAATTGGAATCCCATTGTATTATTTCTCTCCCTCTCTCTGTTTCTCTTTTATTAATTTGTACAACTATATTTAGGTTGTTTGTGGGCGGTTTATTCGATCTAATTCAGGAGAGATTAAACACCCGCCGATTAAGTTAATTGACATTTCAATTTTCAAATATCATTTTATATAAATGATCAAAACAATCGATCAATCGAGATTAGTTTTGCCCATTCCACGAAGCAAAATTAAGAGATAAAAACGTAAAGAAGCATATCTTGTGCATGCGATGGATATCAGAACTTTCAGAAATGGAATGAATGACAATGCCGTCTAGCTGCATTTGGAAGGATTAGTGACTATTAGGGGTGGATATTAACATCATATATATATGAAACTACGAATTTGTCTAATTTTTCTGAAAGAATTACACTGCTCTTGCAAAATGTATGTTAAAAGCATCACCACTTCGAATTGATGTCGGAGTCAAAACCATTAATTGATTCGGTGAATTAGGGCAACCAGAACCAGCTCGCTTGCTTTCAGAACAATAAATATGTTCTTTTATAAACCAGAAAAAGTTAAACAGCGCGGTAGACATTGAATATGATCCATGTGAGATGCAACAGAACATAGAGGTAATGATTCCTATTTCTTGTTTGAAAGCGCTCTGTTTATTGTCAGTAACAGCTTGCAATGTCAAGGACAACTTTCTATTATACAGGTTCTTGCCTTCTTAAGGTGGAAGTGGAAGTGGAAGGAGACAACTACAAATTCGTATTAAATCCTCAAAAAATGACATTACAGCTTTTAACATTTAGTGTTGATAGCAGGAGGTAGGTCTGACAATTATGACACGTTTTTGCTCAAAAGGGTTGCCTTGCCCGTGCTTAAGGGTTAAGTTAACCAGTATTCCATTATAAAATCACGGATTTAACTGGTGTTGGCACGTGCAAGTTGTGGGTTTGTACAGTTAGTTCATGCTAGGGTTTAGGGTTAAGATAAAAGGGATCGATATATAGTAATATGTGACTGGTATTCGTTTATTCTTAGTATCTCTTTCAAACTAAATGTAGAGGATGTCAAAAAATAATGATCTTAACATGCCAGGTTAGAATAAGAAAATTAATAATCCGTTTTCTTTACTGATATTCTAAACATTATCTACATTCCTCGTATGACTCTGAATTGATAATTTTATTAATTCTTTTATGTTTTTCATTATGAAGCTTTGAGAACAATGTTTCTCGTGTCCTCTTAAAATATTTATTCTAAATTCGATGAGCCCGTGAAGTTAATTATTTTATTTTATGTTGTCTTCCCTTATTTTATAAGACGAGTTGACCATCACTGGTCCTGGTCGCATAATTTGATACGACGGCGGTGCATTAAAAGTTTGGGTTGGGTTGATTGAAGAAGAGAAGGCAACTCCATTTAATTGAAGAAAAAGTCAACAACAGTGCAACAAGGGCGGTGGGTTGTCTAGTCTGAAAGCAGTGTTCAATCATGAATTGAATTGGTATTCATTCAATGGTTCGGTGCAATTTCAAAAGCTATTTTACATATTTCACCAGTTTAATGTTTTTAAGGGTTGCCTTGAAACTAATATATATACGAGTTTCGTATGACAAATTGAAGATTCTTTCATGTCCATTAATTATGAGTTGACTTTTTAACTATTGAATAGAATAATCGGGCACACTGTTTTCAATGTGCGGAGTTTATTACATTATATAACTGAAATCATAACTCTATATTTTAATTGAACATGTATCCATGTAAAACTAGAACCACCCTCGTATTCGTGATATATGTATTTTTCATCAAAATATTCAAAGTCAATTATATGCAACTATTTTCAATTAATTGGAAATTTATATAAAAGAGTGAGTAGATATGTGAATAGTCTATCAAACCCATTAACAAACTCTTTCTTCTTTTGAAAGATTGATGAATATAACAATTTGTGGTTGGGTTGATTATTAAATGAGTTATGTATTGTCCTTAATTATATATATTCAGGACACACAATTGATGAAAGATGATAAAACCCGCAACTTGTCCTTCTTCTAACTAACAATAATATTATGCTTATAAATGGATTTTATTAATTGAAGTGAAAGTCGACGTGGTAGAATTTAATTAGGGTTTTTATTTGTTCCCCTTTCCCCTAATGTCAAACTTAATTAGGATTTTTATTTACACCACTTTTCCCAAATTTTTTAATTAGATTTTTCATTTATACCATTATTTCCCAATTGCAAATTTGAAACTTTATTCATTCTTTAAATCTAGATTCATATTATAGTGAAATTACTTTCTCCATAACATTAGTATTATATTTATATCAAATAAAAAATCATTTGAAATAAGAAAAGAATGTTTCAATGATTTAGAAAATTTAGATATAGGGTTTAGGTAAAGGTTTAAAATTAAAATAATATATATAAAATAGAGAATGAATGTAGTATTTAGAAATTATCATGTCATTAAAATTAAACTTGTCAAAAAAATATATATATATATACATTTAAAAATAAGGGATAGTGACCAATTTGATGGAGCAAAAAATCGCCCCACTCAATTAATCAGGATGATTATTAACTTCAAATACTAAGAAAATGTTGTGTTTACTTTTGTCATATGTAACCTGTTAGCAGGCTTTCTGTTGAAACATCAGTTTAAAACCATTTAGGCCCGGCCCGGCCCATCAGCTGAACTTCGTCGCAAATAATGCTCTAAAATGGCGTCGTTTCCTTCTTTAGTTAACCAAAGTGATGTACTTGTTTCTACATTAATTCCAGTATTCCACCGAAAACCCTAGACGGTACTCAATTCTCCAACACTAGGGTTTAAGAGCCATAGCATCCCCAAACAGAACCCTATTTAACCTATAATTGTTTAAAACCCGCAAAGCTGCCTCCTTTTTTTTCGCAACTATGAAACTTCAATCCACTCTTTACTACGAACCGTATTTAAACGTTAATCAAAACCCTACTCTTTTTGTTTTAAGCGATGGAAGGGTTTATCACTAAGCCTAACATTGAAGAAAAAAATATCAGTCCAGCTTCAAAGCTCAAAAATTTCAAGGACCCACTTGACAGTTTTGACCCCAAAATCAGCGACTTGTCTTTTGCCGACTCATTTCTCGATTTTGATTCCATAAAGGAGTTTTTTGAAGATAACCAACAAAATCCAGGTAGGATTGCCTTAGAGAATATGGAATTTGAGGATCTTGAGAAGAGTGTAAAGATGGGTGAAGAAGAAAAAACCAATTTTGAGGACCGGATTGTCCACGGGTCTGACCCAATTTTGGATGGGTCTGATTGTGTGCCGAAGGTTGAGGCATTGGAAGATGAGAAGGAGAAGGATTTGAGTTGTTGTATAGAGGAAGTGATGAATAAAGTTAGTTTGGTTGGTGAGAAAAGTGTAACTGTGCGTGATGTAGATATAAGTGGGAAAGTTGGATTGGCCGTTGGGTCGGATTCAGATGCTGTTGATGGGAGTGGTGCGAAGACTGAAATAGCAAGTGATGAGAATGGTAGTGAAAGTGATTCAGAGTCTGAGGATGAAAGCTCAACTTCATCATCATCGTCTTCTAGTAGTAGTAGTAGTAGTAGTAGTGATGATGAAGAGGAAGAGGAAGAGGAAGAAGATGAAGATGAAGAGGAGAAAGAGGAAATGAAGATTCCGATAAAAAGAGATATGGTTGTGGCGGGTGATCTTGAAGAAGGCGAGATAGAAGTTGTTAATGGAGAGGAGATGGTTGCTAGAAATGATGATGATAGTGATGAGGAGGAAAATGAAAAGGATGTGATTGGTGGGGGTGACATTGAATTTGATGATGTTGATGTAGATGAAATTGGAGGTACTATGGGAGGACCTATTAAGTCGAAGAATGAGCTGCAGGTAGGTAATTCTGTCTTTGATGGTATTCTGTGTCAAAATTACCTTTTCTCTTCTGTTGCCCATTGTTTGAGATGTGAGGACTGTTAAGTTGGTAATGTTTGCATCTTAGAACCTACTAGCAATCTTGTGCATATTTTACAGATTCTAGGGTGGATGGTTTTGAAACTAGATATCAGTTTTTCAAGGATTACTTAATATCAAGTGGATATCCTTTTCTATCTCTAACATCTGAAACCTGAACTATGGCCTTGGAGAAGAATGTTATTGTTCTGAACTGGATTTTTGGCATGCTAAACTGATAAACCCAAAGTAAAATAAATTTCTGGATTACTTACCTTAGCAGACTCTCATTAGTTGTGGAAAATTTATCAATGAAGAATTAAAATTGATAATATGTGAGAAATTTGAAGTGGAAAGGTTATGAGTTGTAATCTTTGACATTGAACATTGCTAGGCGTCAAGTCTGATTTTAATACTTCTGAAGGCTATATTTAAGTGTTAGATAATTCTTCTCCATTACAATCTCTGAAGGTTGATGCCATTTTCTATTTTTTGTGTCATTGAGCTTTATGACAAAAAATTAAAGCATTGATGAGATAGTCCAAGAAACTAGGGTGATTTGCTATTCTGAATATTTTGTGTTGTAATGTGCAACTGTTAAGATCATATTATGTCAAAACTATTAGCAAGCTGCTACATATATAACTTGTCAATCAAAATTCAAATCATCTCTACCCTGTCTGTCTACTCCAAAGAAATTTTTTTTGTATGCACAATCTGACTGGAAGCATGGGTCCATTGAAATAGGTTCAGCATCGATTGATATGTGGAAACTAATTAACATGTCATGTGTCGGATTTCCTCATTCTGAAGCTATGATTTTCTCTTATCTTCTCTGGGACCTCTAGGTATAACCCTCATATACATGTTTGCTTTATTCATTTTATCCACGTGGTTAATCTTTTGAGGCTCTCATT